CTAAACATACTCCAAGTCCTTCTCGCCTCCACCAAAGACTTGAGCGAGACGAGCCAGAGACAGTGACAAAAGTGAGGGGGCAAGGAGTGAGGGAGAAATTGGCTGTGCAGTGAAGCTGGGTCAAAGAGAGGAAAAGATAAAAGCAAAAATAAAAGTGCACCTTGGGGCTGGGGATTTAGCTCAGTGGTTCCACCACGTGCCTCACAAGGACCTGAGTTCGATCCCTGGCACCAAAAAGTAAACAAAATAAAAGTGCATCTCAGGGTGGAAGACAGAGTGGAACATAGTAAAAAGTCACAACAGCAGGCTTTTCCTGGCATCTTGTCTCTTTTATGCCATCCATACCTGAGAAGTTCCACATATGGGGTCCTGAGAATTATTTGGTGCTGTGTCCTGGAATCTTGTTTTGGTGGTGGTGGTGGTTGTTTTTTGAGACAGGGTCTCACTTTGTAATTCAGCCTGGCCTTGAACTTGCAGAAATTCTCCTGCCTCAGCCTCCTGAGTCCTGGGATTACAGGCATGCACTACCATGCCTAATATTTGTTAAATCACCATGTGGGTAAAGACAGCTCTCAGAGAAGAAAAAAAGTTGCCTGAGTGTTTTTACCCAAAGAAAAAGCAAAACTCCATTCTGGGATGACTTTCGAGGAACGAGAAGCTAAATCTAGGCTCACGACTGTCCCCATTATCATCACCGTGGGAAGAGTGGGATCTGGGGAGGCTTTGGGGCTTCGTGTTTGACCTAAGTCATCCAGGCCTAGGCAGGGGGGCCTGTGGTACCACAGCAGGGACACGGGCAGCCCAGCACGTGTGCCCTGTGTCCTCCCTGAAGTCTGGGTGCTAAGACAAGAGTGGGGCTGCAGGGCCCTTCCTGTCCAGAGGCCGGCTGTGTGATGAGGAACTGTCACACAGATCAGTGGCAAGCCTCAGCAAGTTTTTCTTTTGACTCTAACACCTGACCTTTGAACGGAGTCAGCAGAGGCTCCCAACTTAGATACCATGTTCCCCTATGGCATCGGGAGACTTGGTCCCTGCTTGCCTGGGTCCAAGGCAGAAATGCTAGAAAGGAGCAGCGCTGTGCAGCTCACGTGGCCGGGGGCAAGCCAGGGGACAGTGCCCCCCACCAGGTCCTTCAGAGCCCCAACACCCCAGAGTGGAAAAGTGGGACCAAGAGACATGCAGCACAGCGCCGACTGCCGCCAGCAGAGCCTTGGAGCGAATGTCACAGAGGCATGAGGGATGCCTGCCCGCTCCACAGCCCTGAGGCCATCTGTCCCCACGCATCACCTTCAGGCCCTGCCGTCTGTGGGTTACGATTCCTTCACAGTGTCCATGTGGGTCTTGTTTCTCCATGACTACCTTGAGGCAAGAGTGAAATGCGTCCTAGTCTTTACTTCCTGTCAAAATTTCTGTTCTGAACATAAGAGGATAACAAATATGACAAACCACAGTTAAAAAAGAGAGGGCTGGGAATTTAGCTCAGTGGTTCTACTGCCTGCCTCCCAAGCACAAGGACCTGAGTTCAATCCCTGGTACCAAAAGCAAACAAACATAGATTCTGTAACGAAAACAATGACCACAATCCCCCTCTAGCCAGAGAGGCCATGGGCTGGAGGACTGCCAGGAAGACTTTCCTGCTCCTGCTAAGTCAGAGGAAAGAGAGGTCACTGGTTGGCAGGGTGGCACATGCCTGTAATCCCAGCATCTGGGAGGCTGAGGCAGGAGGATCATGTCCCTAACTCAGGCAGGAACTGGAGGAATGCAGGAGGCAGTAGCTGTCCCTGTCCTCAGGCCGACAGGGGACTCCATTACAGAGCGTGCCATCATGCAGCAGGGGCTTGGGAGAATGAATTAATGAGCAACCACATTTGTTAAAAACAAGGCCCCAGGTAGGACCTGCTCATGATGAAACTTCTAATGCTTGTGGAGACAAATATTCCACTTTTGCCACAGGTTTGGCTCAGTGGTGCCACCGACTGCCTAGCAAGTGCAAGGGCTTGAATTTGATCACTGGTGACAAAAAACAAACACTCTACTCTTCCTCAAGGCAAGGTTTAAAGGCATCTCCACACTCAACAGTAGCAGCCCTTTAAGCCTAGAGGGGTCTAGGAAGGATCTGTGGAAACTTGGAACCAGGACCTGAGGATGGGATTTGCTGGGGCAGGACTGGGGCTTTTCAGAAAGAAAGAATAGCTCTGGAGCCAGTTAAGGGATGGGGAAGCCCCCGGCCCCCACCTACTGGGGAGTGAACATTCGAGGCAAGGGCTCCGCCACCGAGCTACACCCCAGCACTTTCTCAAATTTTGGTTTTCTTTTTTTGGTAGCAGGGAATCGAATGCAGGACCTTGCACTTTCGAGGCAGCGGCGGAACCATGAGCTAAATCCCCAGCTCTTTTTCAAGTTTTAAAAACAAGGCCACACTAAATTGCCAGATTGGTCTCCAATTAGTGATCTTCCTGCCACGCTTCCCCCAGAGCTGAGATGGCCAGCGTGCGTCCCCACCCAGCTCAGGGGCAGCATTTTGAAGCATTCAGCTGATTCCGATGGAGGATCTAGTGCAGGGATGGCAAAGCTTTTAGAGACAGGGGCCCAAACTGCAACCCCAAACCTACGTATCCATGGTACAGTGCAACCCGAACAAGCACCGCTGGCGGCTGCTCCTGATCACGCACAAGGCCCCGGAGGTACTGCTACCTGGAGCGCCCTCTGTGACAGGCTTAGCCCACCAACAGCTGCCGGGGGCATTATGGTAGAGAGCAGGGCAGGCTGTGGGACTGGAAGAGCACATCATTGCAGGTAGAAAAAGAGAGCAAAACACACTTGGAAGACACTCAAAGGAGCAAGCAAAAGCAGCCTGGAGAAAAAAGCCACAGCAGTTTGGTCAGCCACAACCGCCTGGGGGCGCTGCCGGCTGCACTACTCCCCCCCACATCCTCCCACAGCTCCCTCTGGCAGCAGAGGCGGGCACCACACACACCACAGGCCTGCAGGGGTCCGGAGCACGGGCAGATCCCGACAGGGTCTCTGTATTGAAGGACTTTACATAAACCGCCCGCAAGGCCACGTCTGTGTAAGTGAATCCTCAAGGGTGAAGCCTGACGGGTGAATGCAGGGGCCCTGGGGTGGCAGCGCCCTCATGCAGCACCCATCACCCTGGCCAGTTGGGGGCTGGGTGCACGGACCAGGGCTTCTGACGAGCCGGGAGGGCACTGGCTGCACGCAGCAGGGAAACACTGGAGCTCCTGTCCTACTACACTGTGCTAAACTTTAGACGACACTTCCAACCACAAGGAGCATCACCCCAAAACATGGCAATGGAAAATGCATCAGGTTGTAACAGGGCAGTCGGTACGCAGCAGGCCCTAGACTGAAGAACATTCATCATGAGAACTGTGAAGCACAGGAAGGCAGGCCACAGATTACTATCCCAACTTTGACTTGAAATAAAAAGCTGGCTTGGCCGGGTGTGGCAGTGCACACCTGTAGTCCCAGAATTTGGGAAGCAGAGGCAGGAGGATTGCAGCGAGTTCCCGGGCAGTCCAAACTACAGGAAGACCAAAAAAAAAAAAAAAA